CTAGCCTGAATAGGCCAATACAGCTTTTAAGAAGCTTCGATCAATAAAGGATCAGTAGCTTCCGGTACTAACAAATAAATTATATTATATTAATTCAATCAATCAATTTTAATTTCAATTTTAATTTCAATTTTAATTCAATCAATTTTAATTCAATCAATTTGAGTATATTTTGAGTGTGGTGACCGGCCATGCCGCTTGGCAGTTTATTTACTGAACTTTTGAGAGCTATATCCCGACCAACCTGAAGTAGCTCTTGGGCATTCGCGACGGCTATTTGTTGTTTGACTGCATCCATCAACTGATCTCTGTCAACTGGCTTGTTGCCGCCCATCGGCGGAGAACCACCTAACGACGACGAGAGGAGAAACTATCCATTTCTTCTTCAAAAGTAAAACCTGATCGGTGAAGGAGGTTTCGCATGGTCGATAGACGGCGCTGACAGTCTTGCTAAATACGGGACGTTTGATTGGTCGCAAGCAGACACACCTCCTTAGACTCGACGAATGAAATCGATCGTCTTCGTCGTGTGACCGGTGACCTCTAGTGACCTCCCGTGACGTAGGGTAACATTAGTCGAACTTCTAAACCATGGCGAGTAACATCAAAGTAAGTTTAGGAATATAATTAACTATTTTGTCGTAGGCTTCTCGCTGGTGAACTAATTTCATGAAAGGATTCGGTCTCTATCATTCTTAAATATATATATATATTTTTTTATAGCGTCACAGCTAGCACACTCGCAGGGGCGAGTGCGGGAGCGTTCGGCGTTAGTTTTTACATGTTTGCATAGGTTTTATAAAGTTGATATACAGTGACGCAACAGTGGACTGTAATGAGAGGTACGGTAGTAGGGCTTATTTGTGAATGTGTGTTCATATTATTTTCAGTTTTTACTTACTCTGTCCCAAGTGCCTGTGGTGAACGTAGCTCTCCACTCTGCAATTGTAAACTTCTGTAGATGAGTTCGCTGTTGTGTTGTGACAGACTACCCATGCACACGCCTACACAGTGCACACACACAGTGGCTGGTGACACACCCACGCACGCACGCACGCACGCACGCACGCACCCCCCTCCCACCCACACACCCAACCACACATACTTAGCCTTTACCCAGCTATAGGCACACCCCATGGCCTCAGCCCACAAGTTCCCATCTCGCTTAACACTACGTGGCGAGAGGCCTCTATGGGCTCCGCCGTGTAACTAGTCGGAGAGCCTGCGTCGGTTTAACCCCATGGCTAGCTATAGCCCTGCACATTTAATCCTTACGGATTTGTCCAGTATAGAAGTAGAAGTAGAAGTACACGCCACGTGCACACACACTACACACACACACACCCACACCACACACACACAGACACGCGCACGCATGCACGCTCCCCCTTCCCCACACACACACCCAACCACACATACACCAGACACGTCAAGTCTCACGCATTTTGGTCAATTCTCACGCTCTCACACTCATCTCTGAATTTCTCAATCAAAATCAAAATCAATAAATAAATAATTTAAAACCCCCTATTTTTCAGTCCCAGATACCAGTATACTATAGCAGGGTTCTCCCCAGGATGAAATTGAAACAGAGGGGAAGGGGAGCTAGGGGAGAGGGGGAGGGGGAGAGAGAAACTAAGGGGGTCCGGGGGCGTTTTTTACCGTAATGCGTAAAATCGCCACCACACCATAGATGGTATTTGGGTACTTGATATATAAGGTAGCGAGTCGCGTTTACAGTTTATATAGTGTTAGGGTTTGGGACAGGTTGACTGTTTGTACTTGTGTGTGGTCTGCAGTGCATGCGTAGTGTAGGAGGTTGCATTAGTGGTACCGTAAAAATACACGCGTCCTGGGGCCTGGTCGAATGGAATTTTTGACGATCGATTCCCGCGCTGTCAATTTTTACTTATTGTGGTGGAATTTAATCGGGGCGGAGGTAATTTAAACGGGGCGCAACGATTGAAACGTGGGGGGAGCTTTCCCAAACGGGGCGGGCGCGCCCGGTTTGCACAACATATGGAGGGGCCTGACTAGTATCAGAAGGCTAAGGTCCGATCAACAGCGCCGCTCCGCGGGCGCCCAGCTATAGCTAGCTCGCTCCGGCCGTATACGTATAATACGTATACGCTATAAGCGGCGCAGCGCGCATTTTATTTGCCTGCTTGGAATCCAATATACCGCCTGGATCAGTGCCAGCGGATGATGGCTTTGCAGGTTACTGAGGTGTTTTGTTTACTTTTCAATTCTCAGCTTGCACTTTTACTAGACTAGTTAGTTTCTAGCACTAGTTCTAAAGTTTATCTAGGTTTAGATCTAACCTAATAGATCTAGATCTATATCTAAAGTAGATATGAAAATGTTGCACTGGGACTCGGCTGGGCGATTGACTTGAGTGTGATTTTGTTGTTGCCGTTGAAATGAATGAGTAAGAACTTATATTTATAAAGGCAATAAATCATACTATAGGTATGCACTAAATTGCATCATTTCAAACCTCAAATTTCGAAAAGCTCCCCCCCCTCCCCCCTCCCCGCTTGGTCGCTTTGCTCCCTCGGCCGGTGTCGTTCCGTCAAATGCTGAGTCTCACTTTCAACCATTTATCTGCATACACACACGTGCAAGCATGCACGCACGCACATACGCACACACCCAACCACACATACACGCACACACATGTGCACGCACGCACGCACGCAGGCACGCACGCACGTATAATCGCACACGCACACGCGCGCACGCGCACACACACGCACGCACATACGCACACACACTCACGTGCACGAGTAAGAGCTATGTCAGTACATGTGTTATAGTGCCAATAAACAGTCTCACATCGCATGACATGCGTGTACGTACATTTACCGATCCAACCCGGATGTTTCAGACTTAATTAATTACCTTCTGCTACTCCGTTTGTATACTAATTGGCAGGGTTCCCAGCCATCCTGGAAATCAGGGAAACGTGGAAAATGAGTTTCCTTTTTTCCAGTCAGGGAAAAGTCAGGGAATTTGAGAAAAATGCCTTTTTTTAAGTCAGGGAAAAGTCAGGGAATTTGATTGGCCCAAAAGAGAAAGTGGTCAGTCTGTTATATTTTGTCTCATGTCCAAACCCTGCAACTACTCTTCACTGCAGCAATATTGAAGACGTGTCAAACTGGAAATAGGTCGAAATAATTATCCTGAAATTGAAAAAGTCGCAAAACATGAAACAGTCACGCGATGTCAGACACATGACGTAAGTCATGTGACGTGAGGCAGCCTCTTGTTTTTATCGATGTCACAGCCATATGCATCGTGTTAGCTTCTTAGTTCCTTTTTATCGCGAATCTAAGACGCAAAATAGGTACATGAAACACTGGATGAACGCACCCAGTGTCAGCCTGGAGGTTGGCTTGGCATGAAACTGCGCTCACTCACATCTATAATAAGCCTAACTTGTTCATCAGAACTCAACTTCCTATATCCTTAGTATTATTAATAGCAGCTCATCTCCCATATATTATCCAGTACAGGGTTCTCCCCAGGATGAAATTCAAACAGGGGGAGGGGAGGGGTAGGG